ACAAGCCTTTCGCAGTCCAATATCGACGTGAAAATCGACATCGCGCCGAACAATTGGATCTACCAAGTGCCACCCGGAGCAATCCGACGCATCATCATGAACATTTTCAGCAATGCAATGAAATACACCGAAGCAGGTTCCGTATCCTTGAAGTTGGACATTGAGCCTTCTCGAAATGTTACCCAAGAGGACACGATCACCTTGACTGTGGCAGACACAGGCAAAGGCATCTCGGAGGAGTTTATACGCTCCAAGTTATTCGTGCCTTTTGCTCAGGAGGATTCACTAGCTACCGGTTCTGGTCTCGGCCTTTCGATTGTGCGCAGTCTGCTCAAACCATTTGGAGGAACTTTCAATATCCAGAGCCAAGTCGGCCATGGTACCACAGTGAAGGTGATGATACCGCTTGTCCACTCGGACCAAGAAATTGAGACTTTGGAATTCAGATCTCGCTCTACACAAGACATTACCGACCCCTCTACTGATCTGCGTCTTTTGCGTCAGTCTCACGCTGGGAAATCAGTAGCCATCATCGACAACAATCTTCAAGATTTGTCCAGCTCGCCCTCGTCGGCGTCTCTCGGGCGTTATCTGACGGCGTGGTACGGGCTCAAGATAGTGTCACCTTCTTCGGACACTGCTATCGATATTTTGCTCCTTGATGGTGCCTCAGTGGCAAATGGCAAAGTTAACGAAGCGCTTTCTGATTGTGAGTCTGCTCTTCTCCTCTTGAGCAACGATTATTTGGCCCGTGACTCACTCCACTCGGTATCATCATGCGGTGCCCGACATGTGGATGTCATTCCACGTCCATATGGTCCTCATAAACTCGCGCGCTTTATTCAAAGATGTCTAGACCACAGACCCAACAAACCGGCACTGAAAAGTTTCTCATTCCCCAAGCCATCAGCCGAATCGACCGAAGACGAAGGCCCAGGGCCTTCCTGCGCAAATTCAAGCGACCAAGCGGAGGCTGCCGTTCAAGAGACTGAAAAACTTTCTATGGTCATCCCACATAGATCAAAGGACACGTCAAGAGAAGCCTCTGAGGAAGCCTCTGAGGAACGCGAGTCAACAAGTGATCAACGGGCCGCCAGAATTCTGGTCGTCGAGGACAATAAGATCAATCTAAACTTGATGCTCACATACTTGAAAAAGCGCGAGCTCGCCAGTCTAGACTCGGCGGAGAACGGCAGTGAAGCTCTTGATGCCGTGAAGGGTGCTGAGGACGGCTACGACATAATTTTCATGGGTACGTAACGCTTCATCAAGTATATATCTTGGTTTTACCACAAGCTAATCATTCATCAGACATCTCAATGCCTGTCATGAACGGCTTCGAAGCTACCAGAGCAATTCGCTCCTTTGAAAGGGGGCGCAGCAAGAGCAACAAGCCTTGCAAAATCATTGCCTTGACAGGGCTGAGCAGTACTCTCGACGAAGCGGAGGCCCTCAATTCAGGCATGGACTTGTTCCTGACAAAGCCTGTTGCTTTCAAAGAAGTCAAGAAGATCCTAGAACGCTGGAACGAGACGAAACTTGGAGGTGAAGGAGGCTTGAAACCTCTTGGTGACTCTGCATAATCTTCGACAATTGGCGTTCGGCTCATGTATTACGATTATACTCATGATCACATTCGCATTCATGTCTCATATTATCAGTCTGTATATAAACCTCCATATGTTCACAACCGCCTCTCAGGAAGAGGCATAATATTCTTGTGCACACATTGTACAAATACAATCCAACACGATACATAACCTATCACGACTAATATTCCACGTCCATGGCCCTCTAATTTGAAGGACTTCAGACTTTTATACACACATGTTTTTATTGTCAGGACCACCATTAACAGTCCCCTCCTTTAATTCCCTCATCCGCCGAATCGACGCTCGAACAGGGTGTGACCCAAAGGCAACCGTCAGATTCTGCAGCAAATCCACATAATCAATAGCCGTGAGCTTCGGAAGCTTTAACGAAGCTCAGCCTGAAAAGGATTCTTTGACTAGGATTTTGGTTGCGGATTTAGCTTTGTAAGCCGATTGGGGAAAGCTCTATAGCTAAAAGAGAGCTGAAAAAAAGAGACGAGCTTGCGAGAAAGGGTCTTCCAATTCCAAGCTGGGATGGCGTTGCTGAATTCGGTTTTCAGTAACGTTCGCGAACTAAATCTGCAAAAGCGATTGCATATAACTAGTAGCTCGTCATCTCTCACGCAGTCAAGTCTCGATTTTGTCCCTCCCACCCCCGCTGTATATAGAAACCAGCATTACAATATACAGACACATTGCCTCCCTACAAGGGAGCGCGGGCGGGCCTTCTCTGACGCTACAGTCTAATGCGTTTACGCATAAGACCGCAGCGACAGGTGACCCGTCACGGCCAAACTATACACGTTCCTGTTCCCATCTTGATTGCGAGAGGTCACCAATAAATAATCATTAATATTGATCATTCGGTTGACTCCATTCGATGGCTAGTTTACTAGCTGTTGGGACAAAATGTCGGAACAGAAATGCACGTCCAATCAGGTCCATGGGTAGTTGTCTGAATTGTTATGCTCGTATCCATACAAACTTGTATGGGTGTGAACATGACTAACCTCGGCTAGTCTATAAACAGCAAACTAATACACATCCTTACAATAGCCCCCTCAAGGCGGACAGGCTCTTATCACTCGAATCACCGACGTAGTCGGCCAGCTGTTGGATATGGGGGCCAAGGTCAACCTGCAGCCACCAACTGATGAAGACCGCGAGAATACTACACGAACCCATACCCTCGCACGCGAAGCAACGGAAGAGAGCTGCGAAGTTAACTCCCCACCCTGGGCGCAAGTCCAGCTCCGGGCGTCAGCGTTGCGATGGGCTCGGGCGATTGCGAAACAACACCAGAAGGACAACTTCCATCTGTGGACCACTGGCCAGTTTACACGCCAGCTGGATTCGGCGCTCCCAGGACCCAACACAAAGATGCTGTATGATGGTCTGGATCGGGAGAAAGCATCGATACTAGCTCAACTCCGCACGGGACATGCCAGGCTGAAGTGATATCTTTATCGAATCGGCGTAGACGAAAGTGATTGGTGCGAATGTGGAATTGAGCGTGAAACAGTCCCGCATTTCTTGCTTCGATGCACACAGTGGAATGAGCAACGTCGTGCGCTGAGTGAAGACGCGGGTCCAAGCTTCGGTAGTCTGTCGCAGATGCTAGGAGGTAAACCTGGGATTGTAGAGGACGCGAGTGAACCGAATGGAAGAGCATGGAAACCCGACATCAAGACTGTCAAAGCCGTCATCGCGTTTGCAATAGAGACAGGACGGTTGGCCAATAAAGGGTGAGGAGGAGGAAGATCTGAATCGAGGACCGCGCATGTGGTGATGCTGTCAAATGTCCATATCCTATGGAGCAGTGCACACTAGCTAGGGGGGCTACATACGACCTAAGGTCGTGAAAAGCCTGAGGAATAAATGAATAAAATGAATAAATAAAAGAAAGTGCTATCGCCGCAGGCTTTGAAAGACAATGAGTTCAAACTTCAAGTTTGCTAAAGGAACATTGGAATCATCTAAGTTGGATGGCAGTCCAAACTAGGCGTTTCTAAACCCTAAAACCTAAACCGCTTATAGATTGATGAAGTGAAAAAGCTAATGCCTCGAAACAAATTACTCCTCGAAACAAATTACTCCCCGAAACGCTTCGCAGATGGAAAATATTCTAGGATTTGGGTTCAGATTTGTCTACCCAGCGTGGTAGAAATAGTCGATTGCTGAGCGAGCACAAACCACCCTGGCCCTCAGGCTACCTATCTCATCTTCTAAATAAATGGGGCCAGTTTCCAGCCTAATATCAAGAGCTTCGGGATACTGTACTACTGTCATGCTAGCTTCTCCAATTTTTCGACAACTTTTTACAATTCTGTAAAAGCCCAAAATCATCGCTGCGCCTTGAAGAGGGTTTGCAAACGACATTAACGTATTCATCTTCCTATCTAGGCTATAGAACGAACCGTTAATACAGTAATTGATTCCACAAGAGGGTTCGGGCATTGCACCCGCCTAACCTAGGAAACAATGTACAGAACTAATCATGATCAAGACTTACAGAGCTTGTTCCATTTCATCAACAGCCTTTTCAGCCCGTTCGACAAATGTATAGAGAGTGATCGAGCTAGTCACTCGATTTTCTTCGTAATCCGTCTCAAGCAGTTGGGAGAATATTGCCATATCTATGTTCTGCTTGAGCTCTGTCTCAATTTTTTTGGTTTCCATGACTTTATGCAGATGTATAACGCAAAAGCTGAGATAGAATGATAATTGTCTTTATTATTAAGCGTGAATCTGTCGGCCATAAAATTCATAGAATGGAATACTGAGAAAGAGGGAGTTTTTTAAATTTTTTATTTTTTTTGAGGCAGAAATAAAGGGTTTATAGTCTATGACGACGGCACTCGAGTGGAAAGACGGTGCCACCCTAGAGATGAGAAGGAGGGTTGCTTAGTAAGAAACAGCTTCATACGGTATCCTTGACGGTTGCGTAAAGCTACATTGGATCTCAATTGGTGGATCTTTGCCTGTTCTAATTAGGTATAGTGTGGTATAAGTGGGGCATGGTGAAAGAGAAGCCATTCTCATCTCGATCGTCGGCAGAGCCAAGCGATCGATTGATTCATGTCTGTGTCGGACTTCAACAGAAGGCTGATCGCAAACGCCCGAGTACTGACCAGCCACAGCCACGGAAAGGGGAAACACCGGCTCCGAAATGAGACCATAGAATGCAGATTTTTCGTTATTTCTCAGATAGGACTGAAAAATGGTGGCAGCTGTAGACTGCTGAACGGTGGTCACTGCAACCTTTTACGAAAACCGGAGATCAACGGCCTGATAATTTTGAGGGTTGCCTGATTAGTTTTCACCTTATTTTCAATGCTGGAAGAGAACTTTGCGAGATATATGTATAGGACCAATGGGTCGAGACACAACCCCTTTGGATGTCACGCAATGACGACAACCGATGAGAGTGCGCAACTAGAGCGCGAGTTGGGCCAGCAGCGTGTCGAGAATGCCTATTATCGCGACTGCTACGCACTTTTCAAGCTCTTGCAAGATCTCATAGAAAACACATCTCATGATCTGCAACGTCTTTACAACTCCGAGTCACCAAATGATCCGCACTTTTCCGGCCACGACATCCTGTGGTCCCTACAAAATAAGATAGCAAGTGTGATTGAAAAAGCATGCGAGTCCGAAAAGAGATGGAATGCTCTCTGTCGCATCGACCAATCTTACTCAGCCCAGGTTACTTTGGACCCAATCAGGACCAGGTATGCTGATGCAGAATGCAGAGGCATCTTATGGGGTATACCAACCAACAAAGGATATCGGCCTCAAGCCTTGGCGATCCCGGGGATAATGGAAATATGTCAAGTGGTCGTGAGATAATTGTCACGGTTTCTGAAATCTAGACTCAATTAAATCTCCTTCGAGAAACTACATAATGTGGAAGACTCTTAAGGACACACACGGGCCAGACGAGACAGAAAAAAGTCGACTCAGTCCGAAAAATTGGGAGATACCTAATCTAGTATACTTGAAATTGAACAATATTTATAATTTTGTGATGTGCGTACTACATTCAGGTAAGTTGTGCCATCCATGCCCATTCAGCTAAAAAGCCAATTTTTCGCGTGTCTTCCCCTTCAAACGTAGATGACCTAGTCGTCTTCGCCCAAAGGCGGCATCAAATACAGCAACAAAAGAGCTGTATCAACCAAGTGATCGATGTTGCGATAGATAAAAAAACTGCCAACCATGCGGCCCCAAAAAGGCGTGAGCCGAGGATGGCCTTGATTCCTATATCACTTAATTTAGCTTTTACTTCAGTGACGAATAGTCCGTACGCCACTGTAACCCCAACCGTAGCGGTCGTGATAAAAAGGGCCGAGAGCTAGCATTGTCAGCTACCTATATTCGTCAAATTCACTTGGAGTCTCACATACCGGGCTGAGGATAGATAAAAGTCTGTCCCCTCTGTTAAAGAATGTTTTTTGAATGCCAAGGGCGGTTACTAGCGTATTTCCAACGAGTCCAGAGATGTAGAGGTAGATAATGGCGTGAGAGATCTGGCGATAACCCGATATTGTAGACTCGTCTACCGGTCGGAGCACCTCGTCCATTTTTGCCACATTAGATCCAAGTGTGGAAGAAAGATTAAAAGCAAATGTCAAGCTAGGGTCCGAACAGGTGGACTCAGAGTTATGTCCAGATGTGCAATAGCTCCAAAGACCCACTAAGTAGTGTTGTGGAATGTGGGATTTCAGCTTATCAGCTTCTGATTGGATGGTATGATGGATCGCTGAAGATGCTTTCGAAGATGCTTCATCTGCACTCTCCCGGGCAGTCGAGGGCACATTGTTGACCGCATTTGCTCCGTCATGAACAATAGCCGAGGAACCCACATCCTCAATCCCAATAGACCCGCGGGACAATAAATGGTCGACCTTGGGAAAGTCCGTTAGATCTACCTATGCTATAAATTAACCTTTGGTCAGAAGAATGTTTGAAACCCGTCCTACCTTGAGAAAATAAAGCTCGCGGGATGTGGAGGGTGAGGAGTAGCTGACAAATATCACGATCAGACAGGGGAAGACCGCGATTGAAAGCGACAAGGCAGCAGCTGAGACGAGCCGATCTAGCCTTGGTATCGTTCGGAGCTTCATTGTTCTAGAATTTATTTCATATACTAGAGATGGTCGAGATGATGTATATCTGATAATTTGATGGAGAATATATTTATACTTTGGAGATCTCAAAACTTCTCATATTTCCTATCATGGGCGGATTTAATGTGAGGTAAGTTTCTGAATGTCTTTTTGTCGACATTTTATGAGTCTAGTGTCGCAGTATTGACTGTTTACAGCACAATATTGTACTTCCAGCGATAAGGAGATGGTCTTCATCAGAAAGTTAGAATGTCAGTTTTATACTTAAAGGTATGTGCCAACTTTGTGCCAAATCTAAGAGGTCGAAAGTTTTGCTACATACCCAATATATCACACGATATAAAGCTCCAAAAGAACACCAAGTATCTCCAACTTCGGGTCTTCCCGAGGCGCACTCCTCCAGTTCTGTTCTCTGAAAGTACTCTACATGGCCTCTCCCACTCAGTCTGAAGCGGAGGACCTGGAGTGTAGACTCTATGCATATGCTAAGAGTCTATGCATATGCTAAGAGTCTATGCATATGCTAAGAGTCGCTTCAAGCTATCGGCCAGGGTGCATATGTCCCATCTTGTCTTTGAAACGGGATTTAAGCGACGTATGGATCAGCGTCGGAATGTTCGCCGTCTCGAACAAATCTTGAAAATACAAGGTTGCCATCGTTTGATGAAGGATAATCATGTGTCCATCATAGTGCCCCAGGCAGACTGGCAACATCGGGTGCATCTGCGGTCGGACAACGGGACTCTTCCTAGCCTAAATGTGGATTGGGATTACGGATTACGAGCGCTAGATCACGAGAATCTAATTGTTGCTGCTAGAAATAAACTCGCATTCAACAACCAGTGGTGGATAGTGGATGTCTATGTGACTGATGAAGAATCGGGTATGAAGCCTTTTGCCTGTCTCAAAGCTTGATCTCCTCTGACTAATAACTACCCTTTTCAGATAACCTCAATGCAACTGCCCACGAGCTCCAGGCAAGGCTCCTCCAATCATTACGAGAACAATTCTCAAACGAGCATCGGCCATCAGATGGGCTGATATATGAGCGCATCAATTACTACGAGGGCCGTCTTGACGGGCCCGAGAATCAACGGGCAGCGGAAAGCTGGTGGGCGGCCCTAGAGTCAGTCGCGGGAAGCAAGAAAGGACAGTATCTGAGATTATTCTTCAAGAACCAGTTCCTGACCCGTCAGTTGAACTCGCTACTTGCCATTCCAGGGCTTTGGGATGGAATGCAGATTGGAAACCTGCACAAAGTTACCGCTATGCACTGTGACGAGGTACGTATGGACTTCCGGTGCCAGATTTCGGTGGACCAGAGGCTAATACAACTGGCATACCAGGCAATCTTGTGCTATTGGAGAAGTATTTTGACCACATTCCTAGGGATTGTTGGAGGCCATATCCAGAGCTTACAGTTAATTGACGGTGTTACTGTCAACCTCATCGAATCCCGAGTCCCTAAAGTCTCCAAAAAGGACAAAGAATTCTTGCAGAAAAGGTTTGACGAAGGCGTGCTTTTCCCCAGTTTTTCGGAAAATGATCGACGGGAGATCTGGAACCGATTGAAAGAGATTGACTCTCCAGTTCCATCGTTAAAGACATTTTTCAGAGACCGTCTCTATCTGGAAGTACCACAGAGTGTCATGAAGCAGCTATTTCTCCAACCAAATAGTACTGATGATAAACTGACAATCGACAATGGTGTTCATGGATTATGGGAAATTGGATCAGCGCTCGACCCAGCAGCCCGAAAGGCCAGGTTTCGAAGTTACATTCTGGAGCTCTGGCGCTTCAGCTTCCAGTACGGATTCGAAATGACCGATTGGAGGCGGCTCAAATCATCAAGTAGTTCGGCATTCGGAACAGCGTCTAGCCAGCAGCACTTGAATCTGCCCAACCGTACAGATATCTGGAACCATTTTCACATGAAAATGATGACTATGGGTCTCCGAACACCCAACACTGTCGACCTTCTAGCCTCGCCAGCCGTATTACCAACCGAGATGCCTTGCGACTACCCCGAAGATGCATCAGAAGAAGTGGATGTCAAGAAAAGGTGTGGTAAACCCTCGGTGGATACTGTGGAAGCCGACCGATACGCTCTATCAGTGATGTCGCTGAAGGAAAGAAGGATAGAAACCCGTGTCACGTCGAGATTTCTCCGTATATCGGTGTTCAAGAAGTTCTTCGGTTATTTAATGGACCATGATGCCATGAGTGGCCAGCTGTTGTGGCCCGAGCTTCTGGAAGACAGCACTCCACATATTAGCGAGAATAACGATGAGGAGACGCCGACTCTCTATACACCGGGATTGGATAGTTCGAGCTGGACCAATGCCAGTTCTGGAGTCCATGGGTCGGAATTTCATGTGTATCATAGCACACCCTACACGAATCCACCAGATGATCCTGAAAGCAGCTTCGAGTCCGCCCCGTTTCCTCCTCCTTCAATTTCGATGAGCGCGGCTTCATTCCCATATCCCGATCCCTCCATTTGATGGTATACAGCATTATGTTATGAGTATGTGCAGAATGCTTCTCTCAGGGGCTAGAACTTTAATCCTGGTTCACATCGCTAAATGGTCATGGCATGTCCACTGTAACAGTCCGTGTGCACAAGCGAAGTGAAATTGAATGTGAATCATATTGGAATGACAAAATTTTTGGAGCGGAGGAGTCAATTGCTTTCGAGTAGCCTGGTAACAGTATCTGTTTTCGGAATGACTGCATCAAATTCAGTTGATTACACTATCTTCTAGTTGCCATATTTAAGTCTAAGTTTGAAATATAGCTACTGGTCTGCGGTCCAATTCTCGCCTTGAAAATCTGGCAGCTAGAGTAGCACATGGAGACACCAGGTAAATCTGAGATGACAAAATATATGAAATGTTATTTTGGAGCGTATTTGTTGACAGCTAGAGATAGTAAATCTAAGAAATCTGTCTCTTCACCCACCGTGTCCTTCGCAGAACCCCCGGCTAGGTATCTCAGTATGAAAGATCCAAAGAGGTAGGCCTGGCTTGGTAGCGGTTGCGATAATAAAACGTCTTGCCTACAATTGACTGCGCTGGCTAAGATTTTTATGGCACGGTACCAGCTATCTGACCCGGGCCGTGATCTCCGGGGGTATGAAAGACGAAGTGATCGGGAGATGCGTTGTGAGCGACGGGTAATCGCCTGGCCCAGTCGCTGCATTTTGGGACCACCCCTTATTCCAAGGCTGCGGCACGCGATCAGGACTGAGTGGATATCCATATAGAGCGGAACATTCGGCCCAGGCGGATCTGTAGGTCTTGAAGTACTCTTCGATATCGTATGATGCGAGAGCGCCGGATCGGCCGCTCGTGAAGATTCCTGGCGGGGCGAAGGCAGGCGGTGTAAAATTATGGGCCGTTCTCTTCGCTCCAGGGGTTGGAGTTGTGGCGTAGATACGTGCGACAACATCCACAAAAACATTACAATAAACCTGACATATGATTCACTCAAATCGGGGTTGAGGCTTTGAGTGGCATTGAATGAATTTTCACTGGAAGGCTTTGGAATCACATTGTTTTCCTTGGAAACTGCGCTGGTTGTAGCTGATAAGTATGCCATGAAATTTGGCAGCCTGAATTTCAATTTGATGTATTTCTCTCACGGGTCGGGTTTAGACATTATAAATAATATTGGCTTGTGTCTTCTAGGAAGGGAGTCACGTTTAAAATGACCATGATAGTTTATTGAGGTGAGAATCGAGATGAGTCATCAGTCACATGACCAACATGGCAGATTCTTGGAATTGGGGGGGCGGGCTGGCAAAATGAGGGTGTTGACTCACCACTCTCACCACTTTCGATGCCCTTCCCGCCTTCACCGGATTTTCAGGTCGGTGATCACCTCGGTAAAAATAGCCGCAGGAATTACTCTAAAAATCTACTTGTTTTCTGTATCAACGCATTCTCAATTCAACCTTTGATCTATTTGATCACCTCTCTCACCATTTATCCTCCATCGGTTTAATCTTTGGCGGTTCACATCTCACCGGTAGACCTGTACATGGGCCGGCCCATGGGCCAAAATTCGAATATCCGGCCCAATTGGGCCGGCCCATGGGTTTTCTTGGCGGCCCATGGGCTGGCCCATTTGGCCCATTTAGCCCCCAAATTTGCATAAATTATATGCAAGATATTCAATATTACTAGTGGTATTTGATAGTGTTCTAATTATACAGCTTTAACTATGGCAAATTACTAAATAGATTACCATTCACCAAATATACTGTAAGTCAAAAGATATATATTCCTTTACTCGCAAGCTAGTAGGCCTTCTTGCTTTGATCGTTTGTGAATTCGATGTAGTTGAGAACTTAGGTTTTCTTAGATTTTTTAATACTATAGGGAGCGCAGTAGTCTGATTCGATTCTCTATATTTTTAAATTGATTAATACTACTTTGGTGGTGGCTTAAATCTATTAAAATATTAACATCGGAGGGTGAAAAAAAAATTCGATGCCGACATCTAATCCGCGGGGGATAGCACTTCACGAATATCTAGGCTGAATGGGCCGGCCCATGGGCTGGCCTATTAAATTAACTAATCAGAGACCCTTAATAGGGAGTCTCCTGGCTAAGTTGCTAATCAGACTAGAGCTGCGTACACAACGCGTCCCCCCTGAGTCTCTGCTTTATTGATCTTTCAGCTAAATAGAGAGTATGTACTTGTAGAATAAAATAGTTCGTTACCTCTTTCTCTACTCTCTTCTATCTATTCAACAATCCTCGTTCTTTAATTAATTGCCTATTCTTTATTATGCCTGAAATCCAATTACCAGAGATAACCCTTATAGATGATGGCGAGGTATGTGATGTTGATGATTCATCTTTCCTGGATCTTTACTCTGACAGTATTGCGCCTGAGCACTCTGCAAGTCAAACAACACAGTCTTTCCAACCTATCAAGATCCTAGGGTGTCTTAAACCTATCAACAACCACATAATATTCGAAGTAATGAA